TGGCCAAAATCAGATGTCACATGACACCAGGTTATAGTCCAACAGGTTTATTTTTGAAATAATAAACCTCAGAGTGCAGCCCCTTTGTCAGGTGCAGTGAGAGAGAAGAGTACACAGTCACAGAGTTTATAGGCAGAGAGAGCAAGGGCTGAGAGAGCAAAAGACCATACAACTATTGTGAGTGGAGTGTCAGATAATTAGTCTCTGCAGGTGAGAAAGAGTGTTAGACAGTGAGTAATGTGTCAACAGCTGAATAACCAGCGAAGGGATGACCTGTAACTGGATTAAGTGAGGCAGAGAGATAATTACAAAAAAATTGAAAATAAAGTGGTGCTGGAGACAAACTGAATGACTGGAATAACATGACAGGCATAAGAGTTGCATGCTCAGGGTCTAACCAAGGTAATAAGTAATTCAAAACTGTACAAACTAATGAAGGCAGAGAGATCATAACAATTTATCAAGGTGATGGTATCAAAACAGGACAGTAAGGAAGATGTTACAGTTACAGAACAGTGTGTTGAGGTCACATGTAGCACTGATCATTGACTTCAGGAAGCAGAGTGGAGGGCACATCCCCATCTACATCAGTGGTGCTGAGGTGGAAGTCTAATCAGAGGCTGGTTCCCTCCCATACTTGTTGCTCTCCAGTGACTCCGTCAACAATAAGCATATGGGAGAAAGAGCCTGTAATTTGAGGATCAGCCAGTAGCTCAGTAGTGGCAATGAGGAAGTTGCTGTGGCTAGAGAGAAGAGCCAGCAATCTTTTAACTGGCATAGCCATTTGCAGGGTGCAGAATGGGTAGGTAAGTGTTTGAAAGAAGAAGGTAGCTGCAAATCAGAGAGAGTGAGGGACTGCAAACTGTTGAGGGAAAGAGGGAGGCTACAAAGGGGATGAAGAGCAGAGGAGGCTGCAAGGAGGTTGAACAGAGAGGGAGACTGAATGGGGAGCAGAGAAATGCTACAAAGAAGAGAGGACAGTTTTAGACCTGTAAATGAATGAATACTCTGCTAACTGGAAGCCACAAAAGTTTGAAATTATTGAGGTTACGGAGTACTTACAAATCATTGTAGGGTATCAGGAGAGAGCCAAAGTATGGCATTGAAATAAAGAATCAGCCATGATCTTTGTTCAATGGCTGACCAGATGCAATGGACCCAATGACTTTCCCTAGTCCTATTTTGTATGTTTCTATGAACGTGGAATTTCTCCCTTAAGGATGCATATGTTCAGGAGCTAACATATGGGAAAAGTTGGATGAATGTTGTGGTAGTAAATGATGTGCTAATTGTTCGATTTAAACCTGAGACTGAAACCTGAGGTGCAGTAGGAATGCTAGCAATTGCCCAATCAAAATACAGCACCATTTTGAATAAGCTATGGAAGACATTTGTTGTGATCTCAGGTCTGTTTAGGATGATGATTTTTGTGTGTAAAACTTTGTGTCAGTTAATTTGGAAAAAGAAACTCTTGCTTACTTATGCTGTATGTGGTGGTTTGCCAATCTTAATACTGTGATGTCTAGGAAATCAATGTTTTCCTTGTGTGTTGTAGCTATAAAATTAATGGGAGGCTGATAATTATGCAGGGTTTTGATTAATTATTTTAATTCTGCTTGTATGTGAGTCCAAATTCCCCATATGTCAACACAAATACAGAAGGTATCGCTACAACATGGCTACATCAACTAATAAAAAAAACACCAGTGAGATTGCAACAGGGACCCTTTGAAAACCAAGGTGTCGCTCTAAAAATTAAAAAAGTAGCCCTGGAGAAATCTCATGCAAAGCCTTTAGAGAAAGGAAAATATTTAGTGCCCTGGTTGAAACTCAAGGAATTAAAGTGGTTTTGAGATGTTCAAGAATGGTTACGGGACACAAATCAGAGAGCTTTTGTGATAAATTGTTATTTTTCAGACTGGAGAGAACTAAACAGTAAAGTCACCTGTAGGTCAGAATTTGGAATGCAACCCTGTTTAATATATACTAATGCCCTTGATTTGGCATGATCACAAAATTCACAGAGGACATGAAACTTGGAAATGCAGTAAACAGCAAGGAGGGCGGTAGCAGCTTTCAGAAGGAGATAGAGAGATGAAATGTAATGCAGAGAAGTTTGTGGCACTTCCTGTCAGTATAATGATGAAAGGCAATATAAATTAAACTGCACACGTTTAAAAATGGTGTAGGACCAGGGAGACCTGTGGGCAAACGTGCACAAATCTTTAAATGTGACAAGGCAAGTTGGGAAGGCCGCTTAAAGCAAATGAGATACTTGACCTTTAAAATAGAGGCATAGCGTACAAAAGCAAGGAAGTCATGCTAAAGCTTTTACAAAGCTCTGGATCAATTTAATTGCAGGTACCTTATTCTGGGTGAGCAATGGCCTCAAGGTATTTTTACTGGACTGTTAATCCAAAGGCCCAGGTAATGTTCTAGGGTCCTGGGTTCGTTCCTGCCATGGCAGATGGTGGAATTTGAATTCTATGCAACTCTAGAATTAAGAGTCCAGTAATAACAATTGTTGGAAAAATCCGTCTTGTTCATTAGTGTCCCTTAGGGAAGGAAACTGTCATCTTTACTTGGTCTGGTCTACATGTGATTCCAGATCCACAGCAATGTGGTTGACTCTTAAATCCTCTGGGCAATTAGGGATGGGCAGCAATTTAAAAAAAGGATGTTGCAGTCCTGAAGAGAGTGCAGAAGAGATTTACTAGGATGGTATGAAGGTGAGGCAGCTCAGAAACATGGAGAGGCTGGAAAAGTTGACTATTGTCAATGGATTACTTTTGCACTGCATCATTCTGAGATTTGCTGTCAAATAAATTTAGACAAATATGCCAAAACTAAGCACTTTTCATTTCTCAGTCATTTATTTTTTCTTGTCTCCCAAAGTTGCAAAATAAGAACAGGAGAAAACACACGGATAACTTATCATTAGGGTTACATCAAACCCTGCAGAGTTTGGGATTGAGGAATGTATAAGGGCAACCAGGTGGTGATTGATTCCAAAATAATCTCCCTCGTTCACTTGTAGACAGGAAGCCCACGCAGGGCTTTGGCATAGGCCTAGTATTGGAAACTTTGGTCTGAGTTGCAATATGTTGAAGGCTCCGAGGAGCGCTTATAACTGGCAGCACTCAAGGAAGACCTTTCGCTGAATTGACTCTTAAATGAAGAACTGTTGCCCAGTAGAGAAAATTTTGCTGTCTAGTCCTATTCTCCGCACTAACACATTCCTTATTTTAGAAATAGATGTCCCAAATATAGCAATAACCGTTGGTAATCACAAATGCTTCCTTTATTTAACTAAAATAAAGTGCTATTTGCAGCTTTTGATGAAAAGGTGCAGTACTTATTCGGTGATCAATGATACATTTCAACCCACACAAAACCACATGGGAAAAAGTCATAACCAGCAATTAGATATTGTAAAAGTAGAAAATAGCTCCATGAACCAAAGAATGCTTTACTGCTTCCCAATGTCACGGTGGTCTTTCTAAGTCCACAAATTATCTTCAGTTTGTTTTATTTCAACTGTTTTGATCAATTGCATACAACAAAACTGTTGTATAAACGATAACCATTTGTGTAGCCGGTTAGAATCAGGGTAGAGATTACATTTAAAGGTGATCTAGAATAAGCATTTCGCAAACATTTTTCTTGGTTTGAAGGCTTGCTGATTTACTTATGTGTGGTAAGTGATGTCACTGATAAGACCATCACTTATTGCTTATTCTTCATGCCCCCGGAAGAGATGACGGTGAAATGCAGTCCCTCTAGTTTATGTGCACTACTATGCTGTTGGGAGGGGAGCAATGTTCTCTCTAAGCTGCATGGTTACTCAGAGAGTCTGGGCACACAGATTGGCATGTGGATGCATTAACATCCAGTCCAGAAGTCACCATTGCAGGCAGACCTCTGAGGGTTGTGTTCAGTTCTGGTCACCTCATTATAGGAAAGATGTGGAAGCTTTAGAGAGGGTGCAGAGGAGATTTACCAGGATGCTGCCTGGACTGGAGAGCAAGTTTTATGAGGAAAGGTTGAGGGAGCGAGGACTGTTTTCATTGGAGTGAAGAAGGATGAGAGGTGACTTGATAGAGGTGTACAAGATGATGAGAGGCATAAATACAGTGGATAGTCAGAGACTTTTTCCCAGGGTGGAAATGACTATTACGAGGGGGCGTAATTTTAAGGCGATTGGAGGAAGGTATAGGGGAGATGTCAGAGGTAGGTTCTTTACACAGAGAGTGGTGGGCGTGTGGAATGCACTGCCGGCAGTGGTAGTGGAGTCAGATACTTTAGAGACTTTTAAGCAATTCTTGGATAGTAAACTGTAGGGTATGAAGGGTAGATTGATCTTAGTAGGATAATAGGTCGGCACAACATCGTGGGTCGAAGGGCCTGTACTGTGCTGTACTGTTCTATGTTCTATATTTGTGTTGCGATAGGTAAAATTAGAAAGAATGTAGGAGGGGAGTTTCAGGATTTTGACCCAGTGATGGTGCTGATGGAATGGTGATATATTTCCAGATCGCAACAAGGTGTGACTGGAAGGGAAATGTGCTGCTTGTGGTGTTCCCCTCACCTGTTACCCTTACACTTCTAGGCGAGAGAGATTGCACATTTGAATGATCCTGTCAAAGGAGCCTTGGCCAGCTCTTGCACATTATAGATGGTGTACACTGCTGCCACTGTATACTGATGGTAGATGCAGTGACTGTTTCAGATGGTGCATGGGGTGTGGACTTTCTCGAATGTTATTGGAGCTGCACTCAGCCAAGCAATTGGTAAATATTCCATTGCACTCCCGAGTTGTGCCTTGTAGACGTTACAAAAGGTTTTGGAGAGTTGCCGCATAATTAATAATGTATCTTAATATGAGCTCTATAAATGTTGCAGTGAGTTTTCAGAATAAATGTGTGATCTACACAAAACAATATAAAAATAATTTACTGTGTATCTGCTTTTAAAATGACATTTTGTATCTGTTTCTACAGGTTGCATTTGCACATGGAAGTACATCAAATGACACTGAAGATGTGAAATTCAGAGGATCAAAAAGCACACAAAAGCGTGTCTTAATAAAAAGCAACAAGATATCGCCCCTAAGCCAGTGGATGATGCAAACTCTGCCAAGTACAGGGAATTCGACACTACTGGGATTTCAATACTCCTCACCAGTCTCTTACACCAAACAGGATCTTTGGGATTGGTTGGGAAATGTATCAGATCAACATGAAGACCCCCAGTCTAGAGTCAAGAGACGTCCAATTGTTAAAACGGGAAAATTTAAGAAAATGTTTGGATGGGGTGATTTTTATTCAAACATCAAAACCGTGAAATTAAACCTCCTCATCACTGGAAAAATTGTAGACCATGGAAATGGTACGTTTAGTGTGTACTTCCGCCACAATTCCACTGGCCAGGGAAATATATCAGTCAGCCTTGTGCCACCTACAAAAGCGGTTGAATTTGACCTGGCTCAACAAACAATAATTGACGCCAAAGATTCAAAAATATTTAATTGCCGAGTCGAATATGAAAAAATTGACAGAGCGAAGAAGACTGCTCTATGTAATTATGACCCATCCAAGACTTGTTACCAGGAACAGACACAAAGCCATGTATCCTGGATCTGTTCCAAACCCTTTAAAGTTATATGTATCTACATTTCATTTTACAGCACAGACTATAGACTGGTGCAGAAGGTGTGTCCTGATTATAATTACCACAGTGACACGCCCTACTTTCCATCTGGATGAAGCAGAGGGGTGCTGGGGAAATGTATTTTTTTTTAACAACATGTGGATTTGGAGTGATTAGCAGGTTGACTCACACACTAAAGGTCTTGGTGATAACAATTTAGTGAAGGTTGTTAAAAGTGTTCTGTGCCTGTTATTACAGCATTCTACAGCTCTACAAGTGGAAGTACTGATGTCTAAAACAAAATCCAACACAAAATTATTCACAAAAGCTAATGCATAGTATCAACTTTCATGGGACACTTCAACAGATGGTGTCTGTTTCTTTACCATTGGTAATAAATATTCATGGATAGAAGAGAGAAATGCAGATGCACTTTGGAAATAGTCTTTGATTAATTTCCAGGTGACAAAAAAAGCAAAATATTTGACCAATCGTTACCTAATTATCATCTAAAATCTTATTTAATGATTTAATATCGAAACTTTTGAATAATTTTACAGGATGGCAAAGTATGTTAGATCAATAGAAAAATGAATGAATAGTTAAATAACTGCCTCCTCCATTAACTGAGGACACTGGTAAATTGTAGATATTTTGTAAAATGCCCACATGTCTCAACAATTTCCGCTCAACATGTCTTGTTTAACAATCTCTGCTTTTCCCAGTCCCTGGTGTGCCTGTTACCTTCATAGCATCAGTTTTATAGGTCAAGTGGAATTAATATTACATTATTTATCATGGCATCTGGATAACAGTGATTGAAAAAGGGAGGATGCCAAAGTAGGCAAGCTCATTGACTGAGTGTTTGTTTTCTTTTCTCTTTGTCAAATTGCAACATTCTTCCTCATGATGTTAATTTTTTGCACTACATGGATAGCATTGGTTTGTGAGCATATTTGCCACTAAGCCACTTTAGTGATCAGATGATGTCTCTGACCAAAAGAGGTATGCTGTCCTTTTGCTACATTATTAACTATAGGCTTCTAGTTTACCTATGTTAAGATAGACACTGGGGGAGAGAGAGATGTAGTTGTAACTTTAGTATCTCTTCAAGAAATTAACTAATGCATGTAGATGAGAATAAGGTTGTGGTGAATGGAGCTGTCACCTGCTGTGCATGTAATAACCATAAGGAAGTCTTGGAGGTCTGGAAAGGATGTGAGTACAAAATAACAGCACAAGTATTTTAAGTATTATAAATAATGCCATTGTTTGCACTGAGAAATGCTCTCTTCCACACTGTGTATGTAAACTGGTATGTGTCTGTTGTGTGTCTGTGTTCACTCTCACTATTCTCTCAGTTCATCAAAAACAGGGTAACCTGAGGAGACAAATGTTTAGCGAACTTTATTTCTCAGTCAAAAGATGGAAACTATTTTGAGCAAATCTTTCCACCATTTTTATCTCATTTTTATCTCCAGACAGCCAAATTTGTGTAACATATTCAATGTTAGCTGGTAGAATTAGTAAACTGTGCTATATATGAGAATATTTCGTAAGGCAATGTTTTCTGAACAAACAATATTTGTAATTTTTAGAAGAAAAACTACCAAACCTAAGAACGTACTTACTGGTTGAGTAATTGCACTTAGGCCATCCATCCATCATCTCATGATGGTTAACTACAGTGTGATTACCTTCTTGAGGAAACTCACAACTACAGAAACCTTAGGGATTTCTGTTGTGTAACAGTAGTCCATGAGTGGCTATGTTGCTTCTCTCTGGATAGTTCTATCCTCACCAGTAGTTGAGGTGAAAGTTATTAACTCACTTTGAGGTTGGTTGAATGGATTAATCCTAACTTGTGGCTGACTTTGAATTAATTAAACACCAAATAGCAGCCCTTTTTGCCATGTTGGAACGATGCAATGACCTGCTTCCTGCTTTTAGCATCAGCACATCGGCATAGTTGCAAATGGATAGACTTAATATTTATTAGTTCTCTGAGATTGCAAACATTCAGCACTGACTAGAATTTGCACCTTCCTTTCTCTATTGGATGAGTTGAACTACTTCTTGTCTGGGTCATGATGTGATGCAGGAGAAGGCAACAATGCCACAGAAAGATGCACTCCCTCTGCCAATAAGAGAACAGCATTAATGTAACTGGAGAGAAGTTTGCGAGCATTACCAACCTGATTTAACAGCTAAGAGAGAGCAAGAACTGTCAGACTGAAAATAATTAAAGTTTCTCTTTCAAGCTGTATAACACAGTACATTCATCAGAAACCTGTCCTTCAACATATCCTCTATCATCACTAACACGATTAGCAGTAGTGGATCACATTAATCTATCATACTTACATTGATGACATGCATCATCAATCAATAAAATATTAACCTAAGTGTGACTAATCAAATAATGAAGCAATATGTCTGATCGAAGTCTGTAATAATCAATCTTTCAAATCCACGACATTTTATTTGGCCACCAATGACAGCTATTAAAGAAGTGTGGTTGCCATGGAAACATGATGTGATGATCTTATTCACCTCATAAAATTTCAGTTACTTGAAATGTGATATAACTATGACTGTTAATAAGTGATCTTTATGCTGTTCAAAAAATGAACAGCTATAAACCTTCACCTGTAGCAATGATACACACATAAAGCTGGAGAAATAGACATGAAAACCTAAAGTTTATTGAATAGGCAACACAATATGAGCAAAAGTAAGTATTTTAGGGTTTTTTTTTGACAGTGTTACTGAGCCACAAGTGCTACATCTGATCAGATTCAAATCAAAAGTGAAACTAGGGTAGTTTTCCAAGTCACCTAGCTTAGGTCACATGCGTAATCACCCGTAGTGATTCAGGACTCATAAAATCTACCTAAAACATCAAATTACTGATGCATCATAAAGCAGGCAAGGCAGACAAGGGAAAAAAGATCAAGTTTACATTATGTAACTTTTTTGACATTCTCAGAACATCCCAAAATGCCTCAAGAGCCAGTAAATTACCTTTTAGATATTTTTAGAGATGTTATTATACACCTCTAGAGCAGGTGGGACCTGAACTCAGGCCCCCGGGCCAGGGGTAAGAATATTATCCTGGCACCACAAATTACTTTTTAACTTGTAGGGTGAAACCTAATGCAGATGAGGTTGTCATCAGCCTGAGCCTGCTTTGTCTCTTCTAGGGAAGGTCCATTGTATTAAATTCTACTCAGGCACTTAACTGGGCAACAGCAATCTTCCACAGGATCTAGGACCTCAGGAGTGGAGAGGTCTTTCCCACCATGGCCAGTTAGAGTGTGGTAGCTCTATTGAATGGCAGCACCACTGGAGGGGACAAGGTTACTGCCGATAAAACATTCACCAAGGGTTCAGTATCGTTGCTGGATCCCGGGTGAATGGCAACTGTTGGGGTGGGTCAGGTGTCTGTAAGTGGAAGCGCAGAGATGGAACATCAGCAGCAAGTGCAAGATGGTGGCTACCAACCCAATGGATGGTAGCTCTCAGTGGGGCCTACCCCTCCACCAACAGATTCCAGGTTCAGATCAGGCACTGAGTGTCTGTGAACATGTGATTCCCCACCCCTCACAACCCACCACCAGACTACCTCACCCCCTGAGGACCAGTGATAAGCAACTCCATATGGATTTGTTAGTTGTACTCCCTGCATGACTAGCCCTCCCATGCACCATGGTATTAATACCACCAGCAGCAGGATGGGCCTTCATTGTCCAATAGTAGCCTGAGGCCACTGTAAAGCAAATCTGGTCCTGCTCAAGAAAACATGGAATTAACTTAGATATCCAATGAGCATTTCGCACAGTAATTTCAGCGCATTTTTAAAAACTTATTTTCAGCCTTCCAGGCCAGATGAAATCCTTTTCTGAATTGGAAGTGTTCCAAATGGAGAGCCAAATTAAAATGTGATCACAAGGAGCTGGTTTTCTCAGGCATAGTCATTATTACAGATGTTGGCGGACAATTAACTAATGGCACTTTTAAATGGTTGAAATAGATGGATTCATGACTTCAAATTACAATGAAATGTGTAAATGTGTTAAGAGTTCATCAGCTATTAATTACAGTCATTTCTCACCACTTACAACTACACCAGGACATCGGGCCCTTCACATTTCATTCTTCCCTGACTCTGACTGTATGCTCTGTCCTGCTTTGAATCTCTCTCCCAGTGCGCCATACCCCAGACCCCACTATATACTGCCCTCCCCTCCCCTCAGCCACTCGCTCTTGTCAGTCCCGTGCCTCCATACAGATTGCTATTCTCCTGCTCCCTTCCTTTTCTCTGCAGTGTTCCACATAGAGAACAGCTGGCCTCAGACACCACTGCACCAGATTGACTGCTGCATCTTTTAATGGCTGTGACTCAGGTGCCATGTGATTCCTGCGTACTGCTGACTTTATCAGGAAGGTAGGAAATCATTTCAAAAAATTTTAGTTTAATTGATGGATGCAAATATACTGCAAGTAGGACACTTCCACAGGACAGCATAAGACCAATACACTACAAACACACCATTGCCTTAATTTCCAAAAGGAATCCCCAACAGGAGAGTGAACCTTTAGCTCCCACATTATTAAGTTACCGTACCCACCATTTATCCCACTTCTGTACATCCTATAAAATCACCCTCCCCCTAACGGTGTGCAGTTTTTGTCTCCATGTTAAAAAGCAATACAGTGATTGATCTGGGATGTCCAATAATAAGAAACTGAGTAAGTTGAGTCTACTTTCCCTGGAGTTCAGAAGACTGAGAGGTAATCTTGTAAAAGCATACAAAATTGTGAAGAGGTTTAATATGGTAGACATTGAGAGATTCCTTCACCCAGCTAAAGAATCTAAAACTCAGTGGCACAGTCTCAGGATAAGGGGTTTTAGTCACTGATAGCACCAAGAGATATGGAGAATGGCAGCTGTAGTCAAAGACCAGCCACAATTGCCTAGAATGGAATATTTGCTGCAATGGGCTGGTGGCTTAGTCCTACTTTGTGTGTTCCTAGAAACCTAAAGGTTCTTGAAAAGCTGAAAATAAAATCCAAAAGTGCAGGAAATTGCCATCAGATCCATGAGCAACTAATAAAGTTTAAAGTTTCATGACAGTTCTTTGATTTGTATCTTAACGCAAAGTATTCATATCACATTGTATAGAATTCACAGCTCAGAACTAGTTCATTTGGTCCAACAGGTCTAGACTGTTTTTTATGCTTAATTTAAGCTTCCTCCCACCTTACTTCATCCAGCCTAACACCATGCCCTTCTATTCATTTCAGCCTCATGTACTACTTTTTCTTGATGCTGACAGATTCACTAGATATTGCCAACACAACTTTATATAAAGAGACAAAAACAGAAATTGCTTGAAAAACACAACAAGCCACAGATGAAGAATCATTAGACCCAAAAATTAACTCTGCTTTCTCTCCACAGATGCTGCCAGACCTGATGTGTTTTTCCAGCAATTTCTGTTTTTGTTTTGGATTTCCAGCATCTTCAGTTCTTTTTGTGATATAAAGAGATTCATATCTTTAGGTGTTACATTGTATCTGCAGATAGACAGGACTATTATATTGCATTGTAGGCTAATATAAATTATAAACTCCTTTTTAAAAAGGAGCCATCCTTTATGTTTGATTCTCATACAGTGATCTTGGTTCAAGCTGAAAACTTCAAATATAAACAAAATAATACTAGAGATTGGTGGACCAGTTCTGAAGAAGCGCTTTGGAACTTGAAACAGTAACTCTGTTTCTCTAGATGCTGCTAGGCTTACTGAGTTCCTCCATCACTTAGTTGAAAACTTATAAGAGTGAGAGATAACACAGTGTGGAACTGGAGGAGCACAGCAGGCCAGGCAGCATCAGAGGAACAGGAATGTTGATGTTTTGGGTTGGGACCCTTCTTCAGAAAAAGGGTCTCAAGAAGGATCCCAACCCGAAACATCAACTTTCCTGCTTCTCTGATGCTGCCTGGCCCACTGTGCTCCTCCAACCCCACACTGTGTTATCTCTGACTCCAGCATCAGCAGTTCTTACTATCTCTCTCTCTATAAGAGTGAGAGGTTTCTTTACAATAAGGTGGTGCATTACTTTTTAATGCTTTTACCCATTTGCATTACTTTCAACTTTCCCCTGCTGATTAAGGGATCCAATTGTAGGGCATGTGCCAATTTCTTTCTGCCCCTCTGGTTGTATCTCCATGCAATCATAGAATCCTTACAGTGTGGAAGCAGGCCATTGGGTCTAACAAGTCCACACTGACCCTCTGAAGAGCATCCCACCCAGACCCACCCCCCATCTTATCCCTGTAGCCCTGCATTTCCCATGGCTAATCCACCTAGCCTGCACATCCCTGCATACTATGGGGCATTTAGCATGGCCAGTCCAACTAACCTGCACATCTTTGGACTGTGGGAGGAAACCGGAGCATCTGGAGGAAACTCACGCAGACACGGGGACAATGTGCAAACTCCACATAGACAGTTGCCTGAAAGTGGATTCCAACCTGGGTCCCTGGTGCTGTGAGGCAGCAGTGCTAACCACTGAGCCGACGTGCTGCCCCTGATCCAGAATAGGATCCTGATTCTGAAATTTGAATTCAGTTTCTCAGAAGGAGCTAAGACCATATGAAATAGCAACAAGAGTAGGTCATTCAACCCCTCAAGCCTGCGACACCACTCAATAGGATCATGGATGATGCAATATTCCTCACGTCCACTTTCCTGCCTTTTCTCCCTTATCTTTGATTCCCATACTGATTAAGGATCCATCAATCTCAGTCTTAAATATACACAAGGACTCTGCTCCCACAACTCTTTGTGGAAAGGAGCTCCAAAGACTCAACCTTCCGAGAGAAGAAATTGCTTCTCAGCTAAGTTTTAAATTGGTGCCTGTTTATTTTGAGACTATGCCGTCTGGTTCTAGACGCTCCCATGAGGGGAAACACTCTCAGCATTTAACCTGTCAAGCAACCTTAAGAATCCTATATGTTTCAATGAGATCGCCACTCATTCTCAGTGAGTAGAGTCCCAACCTGTTTAAGCCTCTGTTTATAAGACAATAAAATGGTCTCATTGAACAGTAAATGGTCTCATACATTTAGAACTTGATATGAAAGAACTTCATATTACATCATTTTCTCAATATTAAAATGGTATTTTATGGGACAGTCAGTGAATCTAGCAACATAGGCGAGAATGGAAAATAGTAGGTCTTCTAAATTGGTTTTGTTTGTATATTGATTTAAAGTAAGTGAAAATGGACATATGAGCCTCTTGCTATGATACATTCCGAAGCACAGTTTCAGCGTAGCTCTCTTAGAAGCGAGCAAAATCTGAAATAAGAATGGTGGAGAAACTCAGCAGGCCTGGCAGCATCTGTGGAAAGAGGAACAGAAGTAACATCTTGTGGCTAACATGACTCTTCTTTGGAACTAAACAGATATAAATATGATGGTTTTATGCTGTTGACAAAGGAGGGAGCGGGACTGGAGGAAGCGATTGGAACTAAAGAAAAGATCATGGGAAGAAAGAAAACAAAAAAAAGTTCTTGGGAAGGTTAGAGATCAAAGATACCATGGAATAAGGAAAAGGGAGTGCTGATGGTTATACTGAAGGACAAATCTTTGGTCCAGAGCAGGTGCTAATAATAGAATAAAAGCAGCTCTGACTGAAAGCAAAAACATGAAAACAAAATACAGACACAAGGCAGGGGGGCATTTATCTGAACGTAAATTGATGAGTTATGATATTTTTGTACATAATGCCTGAGTTTCTTGTAGGTAGAAGGATGTTGAAATTGTGAAGTTTGGCATCTGTGTTTATCTGACATAGACCGTATTTATTTTAGGAATGATTTCTATTGGTTAATATTTGTGGTCACCAACATTTATATCCAAAAGCAGTAGCAGACTCAAAAGTATTATTTATACTTCTTCTCCATGCAGTTTTTTCCTTCCTGCCAATCAACACTGATACAGACTATTTGCTTGCAAAACTCTACTAATAGATAAATAGTTTTCTAGGAGATACATAAGACCTGTCTGTACAGGTGCTGCTCAAGTTTCCCTGTGGAGAAGAGTTTAG